CACTCTTGATAACTGTAGCCTCACACAGGTTCATTCCAGCTTTGCGGTGAAGGGAAATGTTGATAACACGATAGTCGACGCTTAGCCAGCCTAAACGCTGCGTCGTACCTCATGCAGGTACCGTTTACGCTCATAGTGTGTGAAAATAATGAGCCGAAGGTAGAGGTCACTGTTGGCCGCTTGCACGGGCAAATGTTTGCCGCCCGATCGAACGGACACATTGCCTGCCGCTTGCACGGTCGATTTTATTGCGTGCCGATCGAACGGGTAGACTGTCTTCCGCTTGCACGGCATTTTTATTGTTGACCGCACGCACGGTACATCAAAAACTATGCAGTGCGCTCAGGCGGAGGAGCTTTAATGAGGACCGCCCGCACGGCGCGAATCCCTGAGCATGTCGTGGATCGTCTTCTCTTATACTGGCAACACTTGCCCCGCCTATTGATAACAATTTGCCAATACTACTTTCTAAATCTACAGCACCAGAGTCATAGAAAATCCTTCTTTAGGCATAACAGAGCTTTTTACTTTTCACGTGATTGTACGTTCATTCTATCCAAAAAAAGGGTAACGGTATTCGTACAAAACGCTAAGTGGAACTTTTTATCAAAGAGATTCAAAAAAGATGTCCTTTTGATCGTGCGGCTCATCGTGAACAAAGTTAAGTTCCCCAATCTACTTTGCCGAAAATCTGTCTGCAGTATTTCTGCTCAACAGATAGGAGAACGCCATCTGGGTATGGACTGCTTTATAATTTACTTCAAAAATTTTTTTATAATCGGACGTGGGTATTTATTAACAGTTTATAACCACGATATTCCCAAACAACAAACGTAGCACATTGTTTTCTTTTTTTATGAAAAACATCAATGATTTTTTTCAGCCCATACTCTTGAGTAAGTTTTTTTTCAGAAGTTATGAGAGTTGTTTTTTTCAATTCTTTGTGAAACAAAGACCTTTAATTTTTCAACGTAGACAGCTACATCCTGAACTTTATTTATTGCTGACATTTTACCCGTACTATGTTTGAGATGTACTTGGACTCATGACATTTCGTAGATGAAAAAATAAATCGCAGAAATAACAAGAGTACAAGGACCTTTGTTTCAATTTTATAACGTGCTGACTTTGCGATTCAATGATTTTTAGCTTTACACATCAATAATTATGTAAAAATCGCGCTTAATTTACCAAAACATGGTAATTCGATAAAAATCATTCATTTCACGACGAAGCGCAGCTCCATCTGCCATACCCCCTCTATTACTTCCACTATTGTTCTATCAAGTGCGAGCCGAATTCTATTTCTGGCGCTTAATAATATTACTCTTAATAGGTCGACAGCTCTTGCGTGCAAATTCTAACGGAGCACAAGTTCACTTAATGAATTGCGATGCACTTCTCGTAGATTTTGCAAATTTTGGACGAGTTAGCGTAGAGTAATCAGGACTGCTCATTGACTACGGTAGTCCGCGAACGGCTTTGTTGAACCTATCGTTTCTGCCAACAGCAAATTCAGATGTTTCGGTTTCTGGGCAAAATTTTTACCGAAATATACTGAGCCAGAATTGGCCATTTTCTGGGTTATCCTTCATCATTCTCTTTTTTGACAGAAGGGCGTCACTTCCATTGCCACCTTTTGCTTCCGGATACTAACAAGGAAAGCGTGTTTGGTCGAAGTGGCCTTTTCAGATGAGAACCATATTGCTTTGCAGAGTATTGCACATGATTCCAAATGTGCTTTAGTTATCTGCCTAACGCCTCTTTACGCCCAGTTGTGGGCGTTTTTTTCGGGTTGAAAAATTAAATGCAAAATTGGAGCAAAATCGCCTAAATTTGCTCAAATGCTCCGGAGTCGAGTATTAGAGCAGTTCAGGCAATGAATACATTTTGTCTAATATGCTAATACTTAACATTGCTTTATCTGAGCACTGGAAAGAAGTTAAAATCTATTTTACTCAAATTCTCCATTCATTTTTCGTTCCAAAAAAACAAAAAACCATCGAAGGTTTAGAATTTACTTTGATTTGAAGGGTTTTCACTGAACCGCCGCGAAGGTCCATCGTAATCCAATAGAAACCTTTACTACAAAACGTATGAATTTCCGGTGGTTTTTCGAATCCTTATGAAATTTCCTTTCCAGATATCAAATGCCGACCATTTAAAAATCATTTTGAAAAAAGTGATGGATTCCTAACGGTTTCGTCAAGATTCATACGTCGGAGGCTGTCTTTTCCATCCGAATTATGGGCTCAGTTGTAGGTTGACTAACGCTTATAACTTCTGCAAACATGTAGCTCGACTTGCAAAGGCACATTCCAAATAAGCATTTTAAGGCCCACGTTTGATATATAAGGCATAATCCGAATCCATGCCCTTTCCCCTATAGTTTAACATCTGCCAGAAATCTCAAACGTTTGACAAATGCCTACGAATCTGACAAGAAAGGTCCCCAAGGTCTCAATCAAAATTGTCAGGATACATCTTACACATGGATGAGGGCGTTTTGAGTGGAACAGCCCCATTTTTCCTCAGTCTGATCTTGCTTGCACTTTTGAATCTCTTTTCAGTACACGTGTTTTACACTTGCTCGTCACCTTTTTCTTCCTTTGAAAATAGAAGCGCATAGAATTTGGAACTCAATTTGTGCTTTTCTTGATGTTCTTTATATTTCCACAAACCTTCGTTACCAACCCGGAAATTTGATTTTTATGTGTCGAACAAAACCTAAAAGTTTCTGAAAAGCAGAACCTAGTTTTTGCCTTGCGTTTGTAATTTTTTTGAGCATTTTGTTACTTTCTTGCTTTCCAAAAGGCGCTTGTTTGTTTTTCAACTTCAAATTCATATACATACCATGTATTCCATTAACTTGCCTTGACCTACTGACGACTCCCCGCCAACATGTGGGAAAAATACTAGACCTACAAATAATATAACCATACAGGTATGGGCCACCGGTGGTCCCATCGTCGTCAGTGGGTTAATATGAAAAAAAAACGCTGACTTCCTGGCAAAACTGAAAAATGCCCAGCTAGGAGATTATTCTCTTCAAGGAATAGTGGAAAAAAATTAGGTGTAATCGCACACTACACTTGCTATGACGTTATAATTATACGATTTTATGCTTTAACAAAGACCTCAAGATTTCTGATCACATAAAAGAACAAAACCAGATTATCCATCAAAATCGTTGAAAAATAGGACTATGAATAATATTTGACATATGCGACATATTTGACATACGTCTCGGGGGAAATATGATGTGTATTTACACATGTTCTAACTTCTGCTTGGTTGTACATATGTACACATTACTAGTGGCAAAACGCTAGAGAGGGGAGGGGAGAGGGGGAGAAGTAGAGAGCGGAGGGGGGGGGGGGGGGGATTTGAATGACTGAACCACATTATTGAGCAGGATATAGGACTGCTTCTATAAGTGTATCTTGAATTATTTTTCAAACTAAATCAGACTTTGAATCAATTTTATAAGAAAACTCTGTGCATTTGTATTTTTTCAAAGTGGGACTATGTATGTTTCATTAGACAAGAAAATGAAAAGGAGGATCCCAAATAAAATTTTTTGAGACATTTAGCTAATCAAACTCTTCGAAAAACTTCTTTTCCCCTGACCTTCTGATAATCACAACTTTACTCTGAGTTTTGCGCAGGCACTGTTCTGCGCCTTATTGTTGGTAATTTTTTGAATTTCGAGTCACTGAAGCAGAAGTTCTATGCGGGCTAAGCTTTTTTAAAGCATGAGCTTCTTTGCAAGTTTTTTTCCCTTTTGTAAACCTTTTCTGCTGCAAGAGGCTGACATGCAAATGAGTTTTCTACTTATTCTGACAGCTCGAGCTTCTGAGAAGTTCCTAATCTCTTTGCACTTACATGTCAACTGTAATGATAGTTTTTACATTTGGATACTACATTTCTGTCCTTCGCAACATGCTGAGACATTGAGTAATTTTCTTCGCTGATGCATTTCCTGTTTTTTTTTGTAGAAAAATTAATAGAAGTTCAACAAGTAAGCCCCATAATAAATGAAGAATTAATATCGTATCTCAGTCTTGTAGCACTCCAGCATTATTTGAAATTACTTCCTTATTTGGAATTTTAGTTATTGAAGTTTTTCCGTCTTTTTCATATAATTTGTTTCATCATATCCTCTAGTATTTCTGCTACAGATACCTTAATTATCATTATATTTGGGACATGACTCATGGTGCTGAAAAAAAGTAATTCCGATAATATCATAATTGTTGATATATTAAAAATTTTTATCATTCCCCAATTATACTCTAGCTTCTCATTTGTTTCATTATATGAGCAGCTTTATGCAATCCTTTTTTATGCAATTATTTTTTATTTATTTGTTTAAATCTCTTTTCTTTTTTTCCTATTTTGGAGACATCCAATAACTTAAGCTAGGACTCATATAGCATCCAATAACTCAAGTTAGGACTCATATAGAAGTATTATTTACTTTTTGAGCTTTGTGGAGTCTGATTACATTTCAAGGTTACAGTGATAATTTTTGAAAATCTTCTAGCAGTTTGTAATGATAACTACTACCTACGCTTTGACGTAAAAAAATCTTCTTTATTCCTTGAAAAAATCTCCTGTCAAGCTGTATCATTTGAGTTTAGTACATGCATTGCAAAAGTGTAGATTCTCTCGAAAATGTTGTGCTCAGGTACATTTCCAGATTCATGCAATGGTCTCTGAATCACTACTCATTAACTTCTAGAAGAAAGGACTTGAAGTTTTGCGAAATCCAGCTTCCAGCTCTTTCAAAACTTCTCTTACCCTTCTTCACCTCCATGCCATCAAAAAATCCATAAATTCTCGTCCCATCTCCACTCTGTGTTATAATTTCTTTACACTTCAGCACTCGTGATAATATTCCATCGTTGTGGTTCGGGCTTGAAATTATATTGCTCATTAGAATTCCGCACAATGTTCAAATGCACATCGAGCATTAAATAACGAAATATTTTCACAGCTGTGTGGGCAACTCTTCACATCTGAAAGTATTACGACGTTCGAATTTCAATTCTTCTACGGCACAACAGCGCGCGAAAACTTCTGGTCACAAGGTAGGCTATAATTTACGTTCACAATTTCATTTTCTTTGACGAAATCTTCCAGAATAATCTAGTTCTGCTCTTTCTCTCAGTTTTCTTTTGCTTTGTTCCGTCGTATAAACAATCCACTGTTTTTGTCAAAAAAGTAAGCAGAAATTTAAATTTCTTTGAGTAGCTCAACTCATTCCACTACCTTCTATTCTACGAGACTGGAATGCTTAGATAGCGGCGAATCCTTATTTATCTTACAAGGATTTTTTATTATAAAAATACGGCGAGTAATTCTTCCTTCGTCTCATGTGCTCTGGTCTTCCATCTGCTCATTGTTTTTTCTCCTTACATAATCTCTTTACCAGCTTTTACGAGGGATTAGATGAAAAATTTTTATATGTCTCTTCAAGCAGGAAAATGTTGAAAATAGTCTGTTTATCTTTTCCTTTAGTCGTCAATAACTTCAGTGGCAGATTTAGAATATTTGAGGAAGGGGGAGGGAGATATGAATTTTCTAAGACAGGGGGATGCATCAGAAGCCCTTAATCTATTGGAATTCTAGTTTCCTTATAGCTTACACTCTACAATCATGTAAAATCGGTGACTTATTTGAAACGGATTTTAGCTGTCTAAAAAATTCTCAAGTGTATTACATTTATCTATAAATACACCAAGTCACTTTTCCTTTTTACTTTCACTTTTTTTAGCAAATCATATCATCGACAAAGTATTTGCTCAACTTCTGTGGTTAAACTTTGCTTCAAATTTTGAATAAAAAATGTAGTTAGTGCACTTTTTGATTTAATGAATAATTTCCAGTACTTTCTTTTTTGAAGATGCTTCTTAATTTGCAAGTTAAAAGGGAACATGTAGATTTCTCAAGCTTACCCCGGGCTAAAAGTGGCTCATTCAATTTTCGGGTACACATAGGTTTTAGTCAAGCCAATTTTAGAGCTGCATCCCCCCGAATAGTTGTCCAAGCATCATCTCTTTCCGAGCTATTTTACTCCCCCCCCCTTCCCCTCTTCTCCGCTCTATAAATTTTCTTCCTTTGTAATGCTATATCCTTCGGATATATTTCGGTTTCTGTTAGAACTGCTTTACATATGTAGGGATGTCCACTGCTTTATGTAGAGATGTTTAATTACCGTATCCTTACAACTACCGTAAGTAATAAAAAGAGCCTTTTGCTCCGCATATCTCATACAGCAACATTCAAAGTAACTTCTTGGATGCACAGCTTCTGTACTCCTTACCTTTTCTACAAAGTAGAATCTAACCGCCCCTCCTCTCAAACCTCCTACCATGTTCTTATCCTTGCAACGCACTTTGCATCCTTTCTTGCAAGGCAGTATATTTATATCTAGGCCCATAATAAGGCGAAGCTATTATCATGCGAATCATCCAGTGATGCGAGAAAGATATGTTTTCTAGCTCCCAAATAAAAGCAATGAGGATTTTTGTGGTGGTATGCGTCACCATTTCTTGCATCTGCATCATTCCTATGATGTCACTCCCATCTTTCATAGCCGTTAGGTAGGGAGTATTTATCAATTTTTTTGCAAGTCACTCCCCCAATAACCGAGCTATACTGTTGAAATATTTAGTGCTTTGATCTTTTACAGGTGGTTTTCAGGAGATATTTATGATGCAGCTAATGTACTCAAAAGGCGATCATACCATTTTCCTTACAAGGAAGCATGATTAGTCGAAGTGGCCTTTTCAGATAGGATGTACACGTTATTGAAGAGCATAAATTGCTGATTCCAAACTCGCTTTTCCTATCCGCAGAGCTTTTGTGGACGAAGAGTTATGAGCGTTTATAGGAGCAAAAAATTAGAGGTGCATTTAGGATGAATTAAGTTGCTAAAATCTTATTAGCCCTCAAAAGCAACCAAGTAAATATTTCTCTTGTCAGATCAATTCGAATAAGCATGCTTCCTTTGTTAGAAGAAAGGGGCAACTGACTTTTTTGGTTGTAGGGGCTTAGTGTAAGCTATACCTTCCAAAAAGGTTTTTGGAAAATTTTCTTGGATATTGTAGACAAGACAATAAGCTAAGCCAAATTCTATCTTTTCTATGTCAATCTTCAAATTCGAAGCAGCCAGCCTACCGAATTCTCTATTCAGTTAGTTGCTTCATTTTATTTTTCTCGGACATCAGACCTGTAACCCACAGAAAACTTTAATATTTGACCAGCATGACACAATTGAGCCACATGGGCCCCGTCTCAGATCTGCAAGACTTGAAGCATTTAAAACATTGAGTATTTAGACTAATAATTTATGAATGGGAAACATTTCTACTGTTTAGAAAGAAAGTTTGCAGATAGTTATTCATCAAATTTGCACCACTGCCCTTCTTCCCCCTCCCTCCCCGGAGTGAATGAAAGTAGTGAATCTTTTTAGAGACTTATATGAGCCACAAAAATGTATGAGCGACTTATTTGTAGTAACTAACTACTCCATTCGTAGATAACTGGAATATAATTTGATCTATTCGAAATAGATTCGAAATAGCCCTGTCTCTCAAGAAGTTTTCGCGCTCTTTCTCCCTCCTCCTCCAGCCAAATGAATTTCCTGTGACAGCCAATGATTTGTGCTAATCTTCTATATTTATTTCCTCAGAAAATTTGTCTTGTCTCCTCTCATCTCCAGCTGAAACATTTGTTCACCTGGTTTGCTATGTATTTATTACAATTTTTTCCAGGGCAATGGAATTTGAAAGGACCTTGAAATTTATAAGTCATTTGGGACTTGTCCATCATGCAACCACGGGGGGGGGGGGAGGGAACGTTCGAGGTGAACCGTGTGGTTTTCAGTCGCATCATTCAAACTTTAACTCTGGCAAATGTTACATTTCCTGATTAGGATTAGAAAATGAACTGTGGGCGTCAAGAAACTAATCTATGCTCCATTAGGAAAATGACACATGTAGAAATATGTATTACTAGTTGGCATACCCGGCTCCGCCCAGGCCTGTCAATGATATATTTGTAATCAGCATGCTCGATTACCCCCCCCCCTGTGCCAACTCCCAGCCCTGTAGCTCAAATTTTGCAAAAAATCGATAAAATCAACATCGATCGATAACGAAAAGTAGCCTATGACACGCTCCCTGCCCCGAAGTATATGTGTGCCAAGTTTGGTCCAAATCGGTTCAGAAATAAAAATTTCTATTCCGCACACACGTACAGACATACAGACATACAGACAGACAGACAGACAGACAGACAGACAGACAGACATTCAGCTTTATATATAAGATATTTTCCCTAGAATTACGGAATAATATTTCTTCTTTGCTATCCGCGTCGAGATTTTTGGTCTCAGTAGTCTTATCCAGAGGGAATTGAAATAGTTTTGTTTATGCGCAAGCTTATGTTGACCCTCAAAATTTTTGTTGAGCATTCGTTTCCCTCCTTCATAATGACTAATTTTGCCTAAACATTGCGTTACGATTTCTTGTGGACAAAAGCAATGTTGACAATCATTTAGATGGTATTATTCTTAAGATTTTGGGACGAAGAAGGGAAAACAGATTTTCTTTCACTTTCTTTTTGATTGCAACCTCTTTCTACTGGGAATCTCATTTTCTATATCTTTGCTTTTATACCCAGCCATTTTCCTCTCATTCGGCTCCTCCCCTTCCCTACTTTGTTGTTGATGCCGCAGTAAATTGGATTATATCTAACCTCATATTACTTGTCTTCGCAGTTCAAAAGATAAATGTTCCATAGGGTAAAAATTCAAAAGATTTTTTGAATACACGGTTGACTAGCTACCGTAATCTCTCCTCTACAGACTGTATTTGCACACGCTTGAACATTTGAACTACAGATGCAACGAAGTTAATCTATCGCTCTGAACACGACAAATTAGTTGGTATCACAACTGTATTTTTAAATGATAGTGATTTTAAAATTCTGACGTTAGTCCTAAAAAGCCTCTAAGGATTTTTATGTATTGTTTTTCGAAGACATTATAGCTTTTTTCACTATACTTATCTCTAACCAAGTTTAATCGGTAATAGTTCCTCATAACTATCCTCCTTCTACTTTCCTTTCATTTTTTCTTTCTTTTTTTATGAAGCAAGTGTTTTACGACTGTCAAAAACGTCTCAAAAGCTTCTTCTGTGTAACACTCATTTGTCAGGCACAGCACGGCTGTTATAAGATTTTTGAAGTGTTAACCAGATCTTTGGCTTTGCGGTTTGATAAGCCCATCTTCTAGTAAATGAAGACTTATTTTTTAATCTCTCTATACACCAGACTTTCTCAAAATTCTCGAATTGTAGCTCTGACATCATTCAGCAAAAATTAAAATCAATTCTAGCAATCACGCAAATTTAGTTCTTCTTTTTGTTTGGTTCTAAAAACCATTTGGCAGGCAAAAAAGAATTTAGAAATTCAAAATAAAAATTTAGGTAGGAAGTTTTGGCGACTCAGAAAGGGCGGGGAGGGAGGGGGACAGCCTGCGCCCTGAAGATATGTCACGAAAGTTTTGAATTACTCCGCACGACTTATAAATTGTGCAGGTTACCTTTCCTACTATTCTACCTATTGTCAAATTATCTTTGTAGCCTCTTTTCTCAAAATTAGGGTTGAAAACTCGAAAAATGTTCGAATAGTCCAAAAATTCTCTCAGAGAGGGAGCTTACGCCCTTTTGTCCAAAACTTCGTCTCCGTCCTTCCCAATGAGAACTTTATGAATTGTCACTTGTATGAAGCTACTGCTTTTTGACAATTAGATTTATTCTCAACAAAAGTAGTCGCAGTGAGATAAACAGGTGAGAGGTCGCGAGAAGAAAAAACAGGAAAAAAAGCTTTACATTTTAGACTTGTTCAAGAGTAGAGTCTTTGTTACGTTTATGTTGTCGGCTCGGACACGCGCCGCTTCGCTGGACGCAGCTCTCTCTACTGTCTGCGGTCTATCGCTGAACTGCTTGCTTTTCGTTTCCTATTAAATTCAAATTTTTTTCCACTATCTATCTTTCAGTGGTCTCTTACCAATCTTCTTTTC